TGGTGAAAATTTCAACTAATTTTTGTTTTCCCTATTCCCCATATATATCAAGTTTCATCTGCATATGTCCATTAGAACAGGTCCTAGGGTATTCTAAGTAAGGTCAGTTTAATTATAGGCTAATCACTCTAATATTTGTATAAAATAATTAAATTAAAATGTTTATATATAAATATATAACAATAACTATAATTAAACAACATTTTGTCTATTTAAACTTTAAAAAAAAAGTGTAAATAAACAGTATTTCTTTTATTTATTTGATTTAAACTTTTTTAATTTCTTAAAATAAATATTTTTAATCAGGAACATAAAAGAATGTGACAATCATATTATTTATAACACATGCTTATCATTAAATAAACTGTTAATGCTGTAAGCATGATTACTTTATCACCATCTTTATCTATAAATACATATTTTTTCTTAACATTTATTTCTATTGTTTTTATATTTTTAAATACAATTTTAATGACTTTTTTCTTAAAATGTTTCAAGGACGACGATTAGAGATTATAAAACATAATTTAAGTGGAAAGGGATGGCAAATGATGTTCCTAGAATCGTGAATAGACAAAGTCATTATCATTGTGTAACCTTCAGACCGTGCCCGTAGCTACATTTCTAAAAAATTTCCCTGGAAAAAAGGTGTTTGTACTTATTACTAACATATAAAGTAATTCACAATCTTCATTCTTGTTTCAATATACGTATAAAATCAGATTTTGTATATTAAATATTGATATTTATTGATATAATACTAAAGTCTTCATTCTGTAGCAACTGTTCTCATTATTTTCATCCTTATATATATTTATATAAAACTCATTTATGAGCGTATTTTCCCGAAAATATGTTTATACCAGTCGACCCTCCCTATAACACTGTTGATTATTCCGTTTTATATGAATTCCGTGTTGTACGAGTCGCTTAGATTTTACAAATACGTGAGCCGTTCACAGCCCGGCACACGTATTTGTAAAATCTAAGTGACTCGTACAACATGGAATTCATATAAAACGGAATAATCAACAGTGTTATAGGGGGGTCGACTTGTATTTTTGTATAGAGCCTACTTATCCATTATCATTTTTGATATACCCTTCAGTTCTGTTGACAGTAAAAGGAATTTTTTTTCATTCCCATTGTGGGTTAGACTAGGCACAAAATAATTAAAGACACTCCGACATATCTGGGTCAACTTATCCAAACAAATTTCTGAGGTTTTGACTTGTACTTTACTTCCTCGGCCATTCAGTTGTCTCACATTGTTTCATTATTCATTAGCTAACTCTCTATATAATTATTTACATAAATATCTATATATATATTAATTATATTTATATATTCCTTACATACGCAACTCATTAGATTTTTCAGAGTAACTTTTCCGGTAACAATATTAATTAACAATTGCGTGGCAGCCATCTATTATGATATTTTATTAAAAAAAACTTTTTGTATGCAGTAATTATTAGAAAATGGCAAAAAAACTTAATTTTCAGAGTAGAGATGGGTTTAATAAAAAATTGTAAATGCTAATAACTAGTAAAATCGTCATTAAGTCCGATCCCACGACCCCATTTATCTCCCCACTCCCTTGACTTCTAACCACAAAAATTTAATAGTACCAATTCCTCTAATACACAAACCTTCCAGCAAAATTTCAGAAATTTTCGACGAAAAGCACAGAAGTTATTAAGCTTCAAAGAGGGTGAACAAAATCGCCCTCCCCCCACACACATTAACATCCGTACATATCAACGCTTCTTATAATCTCTGTGTTACAGAGAAGTGCTACTGAAAATGGCAATCCCCTTACTTGTTCCGGCGGAATTCTTCCACTGCCACTCCCGAGAATGTTTCCAGAAGCAATATTATAACATCGATAATTATGCCAGATCGCTACAGTATTTAAATTCGAGAATACTGACACTGAAATACAATGATTATTACAGAAATAAATATTGTAAAATTTCTGCTACTCAGTCACATCAACTAGTTTGAGAAGCGTGTTTTGTAGACCATCAGAAATTACGTTACATAAATATATATTTTAAAGTACAGTAAACCCCCTATAACGCTGTTGATAATTCCGTTTTATATGAATTCCATGTTGTACAAGTCACTTACATTTTACAAATACGCGTGCCGGGCTGTGAACGGCTGACATATTTGTAAAATCTAAGTGACTCGTACAACATGGAATTCATATAACACGGAATTATCAACAGTTTTATAGGGGGGTCCACTGGTATGATGGATTACATTCTTTATCTCCATTGAACTATTGTAAATGGGGTAATTTGTATGACATTGTATCTTATGTTTCCAGGGAGTTTTTTACAAGTTTCCTCGAATGTCATTATAAAATTTTTAATATTTGCAGGCAAAATGAAATTCTTATTGTTGTTAATTAGTTATATTTACTTAACTTCGTACGAAGTGGATGCACATGGATCAGGAGCACCCGAAAGTACTTGTAAATCAATGAATCCAAAACATGGTGCAACTGCTCAGACAATACCTGCCCCTTACGAAGTATCTGTAAAACCTTTAAATGGACAGTTCGAAGGTTTGCAAAATTTAACAATATTATTCAATTAGAATATGAATTTATAGTGCATTTTTAAAAAATGTCATTGTTATTTTATTTACAGTATCTATAAAGTCAAAAAATTTCAATAAATTTAGAGGCTTCTTTCTTCAAGCAAGAGAAAAAGATAATCCAGATGAGATCGTTGATGGAGAATTTACTTTGCCTTCAAATACTAAACATGTAAATTGTGAAAGTAGTCAGGTTAGTACAGATAACAATTAGACAATTAATTATGCTTTAATTAAAATTTTTATATTACTGTATATAATTTTATGTGTATTTCTTCAAGTATCAAGTAATTGTCTGAATTCTTATTTTACGCGTTAATAAAAATAAGTTACGAGCTTTAAAATAATATAATATTTAATTGATCATCCACTGTATAAAAGACTGATGTAAAGAATAAATGAACATTTAACATGGCATTTCCTATGATAGGGCTAAAAGGAAAGGAAAACAATGGAATTATTGTTTGGCTAGATGCGTGGGATAATGCTAGCACAACGAAAAACAATGCCACACTGAGTAGGAAAACACGTGGATTCGCAAAGTTAACACTTTTCTACAATGCTGGAGTGAGAGAGAGACCAGATGGTTCTGATGATTTATGGCTGCTTGCCAATATCCTTCATTACCAGGAATTTTTGTGCAAAGAAAGATAATTTAACTAGCAGGTCCTCTTTTATATTATTCATATTTAGTGAGCCTCCAATCGAAGGATTTTGAGGTGTATCCGACACACGCTGTGTTGATGCCGGGTGTCTTGTTTATGGTCGTTATGACATACACTCCACAGATAAATTTGTCATCTGCGAGATTCTTTTCATTCTGTAGGAGGTGGTATAAAAGTTGGGTTGCCTTACAAGTGCGAAATTTTGAGATCTTGGAAGCGTACATTCGCCACACAAGATGCTTTGTCAAACCCTATAGGTCACTTTATCAGAGGAACAAAGCCAACAGACTAACACCTCCATATAATTCATTAAGAAGACATAGTACAAAATTCATAACATCACTGTTACCAACATGTGTTTAAATAGACTTCCTCTCTTCTGCCTGGCAATACAGTGGTGTTATAAATTCGGACATCAAAAAACTTGATTTGGCTATTGAAAAATGAATATTAATTAACTCTTTCAATGGTAACTTCAGTGTTGATTTTTTTATGGCATGCACTGTTCATGTTTTAATGATCATTCAGTATATGATAATGAGTTAGTAATTTTTTTCATTTTGAAATTATGATTAGTGTATTTGGTAAGATTCAAACTCTGAATGAGGGTTTTGCATCCCCAGAATTGTAGACCCCTATACAAGCAAAGGAACCATACCTGTACATTTGACTTTTTGTGAGATATTTGACTTCAAAGATCAGTTTGTAACATGAATCAGTATATTGCCTACTCTCCATGTTCCATGTCATCAAGCTCGTTATCACTCACCTTGACTGATGCTCTGCATGTAGTCATGCACTTCAACGCTTGTACCTCTGCACTTGGTTGGGGGTGAGCACCATATCCCCCTAAAACTATATAACATCGGGCACAATACTCCATGAACAGTCAAGTGGGCTACTCAAAACTGGCATAGTTGTGTGGGCTAAATAATTAAATGTGCCTTAACGGAGCAACATGACTTGTGATCTCATGCAATTGATTTTGAGGGGTAATATCTCGCAAAGGGTTGCTTATAGAGGTATGGTTCCTTTTTGACTTTTTGCTCCTATGGGTACACTCTACAACTCTGATAAGGTTCCGACTGTCTCATTCAGAGCTTAAATTGTGCTGTGTTTTTTGTTTAAATAAGTTATAATGATTCTGTAAATTATATTTTGAATCTGTTCTTTGTGAAATACTGGTTTGAACTTCGGACACTAATTACAGTGTATTTGGAGTTTACAGTGCCTAAGCTAATTTATACATACTGTATATATAAAAATCTGTGTATGGTCCAGCTCCAATTAGTCCAAATTTTTGATGCTTCACTGTATCTACTTAGTCTTCCAGCTCAACTGCCATAGTCCTAATTCACCTTCCTTTGCTCCTTTATTTAATCCCATCTTCTTTTCTAATTGACACTAGTATTCTATTTTTATTCCATGCCTGAAGATGACCTGTTAAAACTGAGCAGAAACATTAACATTTCAATTTTACCCACTGTAAAACATGCATTGATTAATTAAACAATTATAAACAATTACTGTTACAAGCATTTTTAAAAACTAATTTTTATGAAATAATGTATAATCTTGTTTTTTTAGAGTGCTCTCACTCATAACAGCAACATTGATAAAAATGAAATTACAACAGTATGGACATCAAGAGGTGGATATAAAGGATATATTATTTTCAGGTATATATTCTTTTTTTTTTTAATGCTAACAAAACTAATAATAGTTTAAAGTTTATAAATACGAGGGCTATTTTTTAAAAATAAGGTCTGTTTGTGAATTAGAGTGAGAATAATGCGATCGCGGCAGTGTGTATGTGCATCTGCTCGAAGCATGCTTTGTGCGTGTTTAGATACCATTTGCAGCTGTATCGGCTGTCTGTGTGCTGAGCTGTAAAAGTTTATAATGTTTAAGAAAATTGAGTCACCCGCTGACTGTGAGATATGATCTGTTATTCGATTCTTGAGTGTAAGAAACTTGGCAGCAGTTGATATTCACCATCAGATTTGTGAAGTTTAGGGTGATAATGCTATGAGTGACAGTAAAGTTCAAAAGTGGGTGAGAATGTTCAAGGACGGGCAGGTTAATGTGCACGATGAGCCACGCCCTGGCCAACCTTCTCTGATTTCTGAAGATTTGGTTTGTGATGTGGATAACAAAGTTAGAGAGGACCGACAATTCGTGATTTCAATGTTATCAATTGAATTTCCACAGGTTTCAGATGAATTTTGTATACCATTGTTTCGGAGAAACTGAATTATCGAAAATTGTGTTCTCGGTGAATTCCAAGACTGCTGTCTGATTATCACAAAACAAAAAGATTGGGCATTGCTTTATCATTTTTGACTCAATATGATCAGGAAGGAGATGAATTGTTGGACCACATCGTTACAGGAGATGAGACTTGGGTGTCTCACATGACTCCTGAGTCCAAGCAACAGTCAACAGAATGGCGACACACATCTTCGCCAACCAAAGCCAAACAGTCTATTTCAGTACAAAAAATTATGGCAACTGTCTTTTGGACAGGAAAGGGATTTTGTTAGTGTATTTTATGCCAAGAGGCACACCAATCAATTCTGATGCATATTGTGTGACCTTGAGAAAATTCCAGCATGCCATACAAAACAAGTGGCGTGGTCTACTGTCTTCCAGTGTGATGTTGACACACTGGAAGACAGTAGACAGTTGATCCACTTCATGACAATGCAAGGCCACATGTTTCTGCACAAACACAAGGTGTAATCAGTTCTTTTGGATGGGAACAACTGGATCATCCATCTTACAGTCCAGACCTTGCATCCAGTGATTTTTACTTGTTTCAATACTTAAAGGAGTTTTTTGGTGGTCAACGGTTCAACAACAATGAAGAAGTGAAAACTGCAGTCATGGATTAGGCTTTTTCACAGGCGGCAGATTTCTTTGAAGTCGGAATTCAAAAAATTGTTGAGCGGTACGACAAATGTATGAACAAAAATGGAAATTATGTAGAAAAGTAGAAAAAAGTATGTAGAATATGGGAAAAAATATATTTTAATGATATTTATAGTATTTTTCTTCTTATTAAAAAATGGACCTTATTTAAAAATAGCCTTCATATATAAGAATAATCAGATTATGTCTTCTAGCAATACATCAATGTAGAGCATCCTTTCTCAAAGTGGGCGATAATACCCCTTTGTGGGCACAGGAGGCTTTCAGGGGTCAATAGAAGGCTCAGTGATTAAATGAGAGTTTTATTTCTTCTCATCGAAACATTCTTCTTTCTCAGAAATAGGATATGGGTCACACCCTATCTATCCTATCCTTATAATAATGCATGTTTAAACATTATATTTGCAATAACTGTTTTTAAGATACTCAACATGTTCAGTGACCAGCAAGTCACAAGCTCTTACATTCAAACAATTGAAATTTAATCAATAATAACTGAAGCTGGAACTTCCACATCATATAAAAACACTGAATACACCTTATACACTTCAATTAAATTTAATTGCAGGAAAAGAGTGTAAGGTGTATTCAGTGTCTTTGTAATCAAAATTTAGTTAAATATTCAATAAATTAAGCATGATGTAAGCAATATTGTGCGCAGCACGACTTGTTAAAATATCATCACTTGCATGTAAAATATTTGTAATTTTCATGGAAATATTTATTTCATATTTTCTAAGGAGTAATTTTTCTGATGTAACATATGGAAATCCTTTAGTTTTTTATTACAGCACAGTGAAAAGTTTGTGCAGATGCCAAACAAAGTATACAAGAAAATATATCCTGCTGTTTGTATGAATGGTTGTAGCTAGGTCATATTGCTTTTTATTGAAAATGCCTTTGATAATTTTGTGTAAAAAGAGTTTCCAAAGATGGGTAAAAGCCATCATTTCCACGATGAATAGATCTTATTACAATGAAAGATAAATGGGCTTTTAAACTTATAACATATTACTATCTTCATGAAAATAAACCTAAAATGTCTATGTTGAGCAATAAATAATTATGTTTTTCAGCTTAATTTTATTTTATAAGAGTGGACAACTTAAATTTATACAAAAGAATGAAAATGGGATGGTGGATCATTGGTACTTTTAGTTTATGAAAGTAGATTACATCCTATTATAAGTTGGCCAGGCCTGCTGTACTGTAAATAAATACAAAATGTTTAAGCTAGAAATTGAAGCTCAAAAATATCGATTTTTGAACTTCAATTTCAAGCTGTTTGAGTTTTAATTAATAGATATTCAAAATCTTTAATTAAAACCTTTTTCTGAATAAAGTGTTTAGATTGCTTTTGATTTAGATTAAACAATAAGGATGAATTAACCTTTACAGTTACTCTGCTGAATTAATCAATGCACCTTTTTAACAAGGGGTGAAGTCTAAAGAATGCAAACTTTTAAAACTGGTTAACTGGCTGTCCTGAAGTGTAGAGAGTTGAAAATAGAATACCAATTCCTTACTGACACTGGCATTCCATCTTTTGATTGTCTACATCTAGGGAAGGCTTATTAACTTGGTTGAAAATGTTAGTATTCATTAAACTTCATCCTCTGTTAAACATACATTGATTAATTTAGTAGTAGGTTAAAAAAAATTATCACCACTTGAATGTGTCCAAACACTTGAAAAAAGCATCTGCAAGATTTGTTATAAATATTATTTATATTAATATTTAATTAAAACTAAATCTGGTTACTTTATTCTGAATCAATTTAGATTTCAATGCAATTCTTTGGCCATAAGTTATTCTCGATAAACAAGATATTAAGCTATGAACATCTTAAAACAAGACTGTAATTTATATATCATTTCTGTTTTTTTTTTGAGACTAATACAATTATTAATATTGAAAAGAATAAATTTATTAACATTCTTTACAGGGCAACAGTTGTTAAAACCGCCAAAGAATTTTGGACAATGGTTGATTCAGATCCTGTTGAAGTTTCTGACTCTCATATTCCTTCTACTGTTACTACAAAGGTAAAATTTTAATTATCTTTTAGTCATTGTATATAATATTTGTATTAAAATAGAGTAATTTATAAAAATAGATATCAATTTCATTCATTTTTCTATAATGGTTCCTTTTGTTATAAAATTCAATATTTAAATTTAATGTTGTGAATTAATTTAATTCTCATAAACTGTTTTTCTTCCCCCATCTGAATATAAAAATATCAGTCAGTTTTGAAAATTTGAATGCATTTATGTTGCATTTACACAGTTAATTTTTGAAATGCATATAAATGTATTTTTATCTTTTAATAACAAACACTTATAAGTTGCATATTGCAAAGTAGTTGGTACCATCTTACTACTGAAAAATCTTATCCAAGCCCTCCAAATTTTTCATGGATAATTTGTATGTTGATATCATTTTCCATTCTTCTCTTGTATATCCAGTGCTTTTTGGACAAAACTGAGGTTATGAGTATCGACTCATGGAATATTAACAGTTTTACTTAGAATAATCTTATTTTAAGAAGCGACAATGCTATTTCTCTTCTCCAGTAAGCCGTTTTTTTTTTTTGAGTCACAAAGATAAAGAAGAAAATCAAATTACAAAAAAAAAAATCTTTTGTTCAACAAGATCCAGGATTTGTATCTTAAGCAGTGCAAATATTTGGAAATACTGACTTAACTACTTTGCAATGGAAACAGTTAGAAGATCAAAAAAGGCAAGTATTATATGAAATGATGCAAATTAAGCAAAAATAACTTGAAGCAAAAATGAAAGCTGGGAAATTTCAAAACAAATGTGATTTCAGATGAGAAAACTGATACTGATGATGAAACATGGGAACATAAAAAGCACAAAAAAGGTTGATAAAACAAAAGGTTGGGTAGATGAACTGACAGGAAGGAAATGCAAAACATATAGGTGAATTTTCTATTTCGAGATGAAGTAGAATAACTTGAAAAATTAGGGTGCTATCAAATGTTGAATGCTAGATTTGTCTGATTATAAAGACTATAATTTTATGAAAATAAAATGTATTATAATGAAAATATATATCAGTAGGCTTTTATGAATAGAATAAGAATTTTATATAAAAATTCTTGCACATTTATTGCACTATTTGCAAAAGGAATATTTTTTTTATATATATAAAAAAAACAAGGAGTTGTATCTTTGAAAAGTTTGAGAATCACAGCTTTAGAGAAATTTCTTATTAATTACTATTTAAGAAATTTTCTCATCTCAATTACATTATTTTATTTTTCATCTATTTCATCCCTCTATTTTCTACTTTTTCAAAAGATATGAATCTTATTCTTTGCCAAAACACCTTAATTGATCCTTTATTTCATTTTTCGTAATACTTTGTATTTTGCAAATATGTTCCATTCATTTGTAATTTATGTTCTGTTTCAAATTTGATTTTTGACTGAAGAAACTTGATTGATCAAATAGAAATGTTTGCTAACTTTTTAATTTTCTACCCGTAGTGTTCATTACATTATTATTTTCTATAAAATCAGCTTAAGTGAACATTTCTTATGTGATTACAGCTTCTGGTGCGCACTTATTTACCATTTATAATGGCTAGGATGTTTACCAATTATAAACTTTTCTCATTTTATTTTAACAATATGAGATCATATACCATATTTACCTGATAGCAAGCTGACCTTTTTTTTAATTTTTTTGTGGTTCAAAAAATGTCTCTTGGCTTAGAATTGATATCATTAATACAGTTGATAAAGTAGGTGATGACCTTTATTGATGTGAAAAGGTCGGGAAAAATCACCAGAAGCCACCACAGATAAGTTTCCAAGAATTTTTTAAGCACTCGTGGAAAAATATTTCCACAGAAGTTGTCGCTAGTGTGTTTAAAAGTGTTCGATGTGCTCGATGACACAGAAGGTGATGCTTTGTGCTCAGTTTCATTTGATGACACCAACTGAACAATTCAGTGGTGTAAAATTTATTCCGTAAGCTTGATTTAACAAATGTTCATTATTTATTTATTTTTGTTTTCAATTTCCTGGGGTCAGCTTACAATCAGTGTTGGCTTTATAATTGAATAAATATGGTAAGAACAGTATCAAATACCTTGCTATGAAGAAGAACCCAAAACACAAATCTGTTCTATTGCTGTAGTCCCTTAGAAAGGGTTGCATAGTGTGAACAACGTGCAAGTTTTGGGTGCATTGACAGGATTAAATATAGGCTTATATACAAAAGTTAGTTTATAGATATACGATTATCAGCACAAAACCTTTCTCACTAATTTCTAGCCTTATTAACTGGTTTTGTGCTGATAATCATAGAAATAGTTCTAGCTACATATGCATAGTAGTATAGATATACATCTGCAATCTTATGTTTTCAAATAAAAAAAAGCTTAAAATTATAAAATTACATTATTGAAATTGTTTGTCATCTAATAATAGGATTAATTCTTAAGAAATATACTAAATTATTTCATACTTGTTTACAAAAATTAAATTCTGGTTCATCTGTTGAAGATTTGCAGATTTTATATGCAAATACGAGGGTAATTCCAAAAGTAAGGTCTTCTATTCTTTTAAAAATACAAAGAAATGTTTATTTTCAATAACGTTCATATCATTTTAAAGCTTGAACATTTATCGATTTTTCTACATACATACATGAAAGACATCGGCCATACATGAAGTGTTTAGCCGGCAGAAAAGAGGGTAAGGGAAAGGGGAGGGAAAGAAGGAGGGAGAGGAGATAGACAGTAGAGAAAGGTAGGATCCCTTTGAACAGCATACTTAAGGCTACAGTACTCTGTTCAGCATGTAGTTTTTAGGCTGCAAGGCCATAGTCCTTCGAAGTGTCTAAAAGAAAATGTAGCAAACATCAATAATTGAGTGCTGCCATGAATGGCTAAGTGTAGAAGTTAGTGCCAAGTGGCTGTTAGTAGGAAAACTTGTATCTACTTATTACTAATAAAACTGAATGCGATCAGGAATCTTAAAACTACTTAATAGCTAGACAGACAGTGCAAAAAGCAAGCAAACATGATGACAAACTAGATGAGACAAATGGACTGACAAAGACAAACAAGCAAGACCCCAAAATTATTATTATTATTATTTTTTTTAAACGTTAACTTACTCACTAAACTAACCTACCATAACCTAGGATGAACTTAACCAGATGACTAAAGCTAACAAACCCTAATCTAATTTAACCTAACCGGAAACCAAGCTAAGAGTCCCTAATCTAACTTACAACTAGGACTAACCAAATTTAGGCTGAAAAAAGAAGACAGAAAATAAGAATTAAAATACAAAGTTGAAGGCAGCTATATAACGACAGTTTAAACAAAGCGAGGGAAAGCTAATTGCCATCTGTGCCCCAGGAGTGATTACTCTCAAGAGCCCCCACTAAGGGATATGAATGCGAGTAGATGATGGAATATTATATGCATGTGAATGAGTTGATGTGGGTTGCAAAGCCAGTTGTACCCTTCAAGAATAGCAGCTCTTATTAATGTGATTGTATCTATTGCAGCAAAAAACTAAGTGAAGTGGTGTTTGGTCCTCTTGAATACCACAGTTGTGGTATTCAAGAGGACCAAACACCACTTTGTGGATTGTGGATTGTTCCCAATGTTAAATCTATACAAGTATTGCTGAAAGTTGCTGTGTCCTGTAAATAGTTGCGTGAAGGTAACTAGGGTAAAAGTGACGAAGAGTCACAGTAGTGACAACCTTGGGGATGAAAGTGTAGGTGAACCTACCAGTGATGTCATGGTCCCAGCTGTCTTGCCAGAGAATGAAGATTTGTTTCTTGACATGATTGTTGATGTATGAGGTAGGAATGTAACTGAAAGCACTAGTGACTGAAGACTTTGCAGCTTGTTTGGCAAGTCTGTCAGTGGTCTCGTTGCCGAGAATTCCTGCATGACCCGGGACCCATTGGAAATCTATTCTAACGTTGTTATCTAACTGTCTGAGAATGTGGTGTATGAGATGGATGAGTTTTAAGCAGTTATCAGACTTTGCAATCCTGTGTAAAGCTATCCTACTGTCAGAATAAATGCGATAGTGTAAGTAGTGTCTTTCGTCCTTCCTACCCCTAAAGTGAATTAAGCTCATGTAAATAGCTAAAGTTTCCTCCTAGGTACACATTGCTATTAAGCAGTGTACCTAGCTTAATACTGTTGTACTTAGACGGAAGCAAGCATTGTGAACCTTGCGGCCTAAGTCAGAGTGAAGTACAAAAGCGACACCCACATCATCACCCATATTGGAACCTGTCAGTGTAAATCCTAAACATGGGATGATCACCTGAATCTTCGAAGTAAATGTTAGGGGCAAGCTGATGGGAGGGGTGGTAATTGTAAGTCGGGAGGATATTTTTGTCGATGCTGAATTTTTTGATATCATCGATCAAGGTCAAACTGGGGGGAATCTTACGTATTCTAATCATTTTGTCGACATCCGAGTCACTATAATCTCACCAGGGCAAGGTGATGAGATTTTCCTGCCAAATAATGCATTTAATTTCTAAGTCAATAGAGGCCAATCTTGACATTACCAAAAAAGCACTAGTGGGTGCAGTCCTATAAGCCTTACAAATGTGGAGAGCTGCAATCCTTTGAACAGAACCTATTTTTTTACATAATTGCCATTTTGGTCGATGCATTTGTATAGGCGCTATGACAGTTTTTGTATGCCCATGTCATACCAGCTTGCTGCCAGTCGCGGGACCCAGCTTATGCACACTTTCCAATATTGCAACTTTTCTGTTAAAATCCTATGAATGGTGCTTCAGAAAACCCCAAGAACCAAAATGCAGAGATCATCCAGAGTGATTTGCTGATCTCCACACATGGTTTGCTCAACCTTTGAGACTGTCTCGTCAGAAATTGACAGTCTCCTGCTTCTTTCTTCATCGTGAATTTCAGTATGACCAGCTGAAAACTCCCTACATGTTTTTGACATCTATGCACAACTTGCCACACACTTCTGTCAATTGGCGATGAATTTCAATCAGTTTAACATGACATGGAGGCGAGCTGGTATGACATGAGCACACAAAAATTGCCACAGTGCATACAAAAATGCATCGACCGAAATGCCGATTATGTAAAAAAATAGATAAATGTTCAAGCTTTAAAATGATATGAACATTATTGAAAATAAACATTTCTTTGTATTTAAAAAAAATAGGACACCTTACTTTTGGGATTACCCTCATATAACAAAACTATGTCATATTTTTATCATTTAATTTTATTTGATGTGCATCAAGCACATCAAATAAAATTACACCATTACATATATAACACAGTAAACAATAAACAGCACAAAATTGCTGTGTAGAACTTATCATTAAGGAAAACACTTGATGAATAAAATAGACTTTATTTTGTCTAATTTATTCATCAAGTGTGTTCCTGTATGATAAGTTCTATACAGTAATTCTGTACTTTCCCAGAGAACATAGAAAAAACAGGAAGCGATCAAGTATTAAACAATAAACAATTTCAATTTTAACATTTTTTCTGGTGTATTGTGCAAAAATATGCATATTATTATTATTAACTGCTTAAAATATTTTCTAGTAAATTGTATTAAATGAGTTTTAAATAATAAATGATATATTTCTTAATAAAAAATGTTTATATTTTATGCTAGAAACCTATGTCTGATAAATCGCTTTTAACGTATGATGAGTGTGGTGGAACAAAAGGATGTTTTGGAATGCCTGAAAAATGTATTGAAAATAAAAACTGTGATATATTGTTTTCTCATGCCTATGAATCTGGCAAAGATTTGGTAGAGTTTGAAATCAGTACTAAAGTTGATTCAATTTCTGGACATTGGATAGCTGTTGGGCTATCTGAGGATCAACTCATGGTATGTTTCCTTTTTAATCCTATATTTTAATAAAAATTTAAATTAAATTAAATAATGTCTGGAAAGCTATGAATATTAAACAAAAATATTTCAATAAACAGTCACACCTTGGTTTTATAACTTAATTTGTTCCTAAAAATTATTCAAAAACTAATTTGTTATAAAACCAAAACAAATTTTCTCATAAGAAACAATATGAAATGGATTAATATGTTCCTGACCCCAAAATACAACTAAAAAGGTAAAAAAAAAAGACTTTATTTCATGTATAAAAATGCCTACAAATGCAATGTAATAATATGTGTAATATAATATTAATAAATTTTTCTTATTTAATTTGACTTAAGTATCTTTAAACATGAATTCTTGGATATATTTATATTACATGAATGTCAATTAATGCAGTTTTTATTAATTAATTTGATTTAAATTCAACTTTCTGTGTTCCGAAAAACAGAAGTATCTTTCTCTCATGTGCATTGATTTCTAATTTAAATAGCAACATTCTTGATGATTAATGTTTTGACATCTAATGATGCAAGGTGATCTTACTGCCACTAACTTCTAAATAAGTAGTCCTGTCATTGATTGGTGAGGCTATCAAATTTCTTTATCTGGTCTCAACTTTTGTCTAACTCCATTCTCGAGATTAAGGAAAGTCTAATGATACAAAGTGATAAACAGGTATTTCCACGAACAGAATTATAAGAAATGAGACAACACAGTAATAGATATAACAGATCAATTTTATTTTCGCTTTTGTATAGGTTAAAAAAACCCCCAATCCCAACTCACAGGCTTTCAATTTGAATGTGTAACAATTGAACAGTTCCTTCCAATAATCAAAACAAATGAATGCTAAACAATATTACTGTGGAAAATTTAACCTAATTATACACTAAAAGGAGATAAGGAAATCAGACAGATTGTTAAGGAAAGAGAAGGGGGAAAAAGGAAAGGCCCAGAAATCCCTTTTTTTTTTTTCTTTTTTGTAGTTATATGCCTCAGATGGATCGCTGGTAACCAATAGTCGATAGTTTCGGAATTTATTCTATCACCTCTTTCTTGTACTGGTCCACCTTGCACGGACAATCTTCATACAGTTAACTATGCTGTCCTCCTTAATGCTGGAAGATCTTCGTCTTTGGCACCATAGTTCCAGGAATCTACTTCCTCTCGTTATCCTCACAAACTGGGGCCACTACTAAAGTTAAACCCTCGAGATGTCGGGTACAGTTCTCCGATATTCTTACGAAAAATGTCCGTAGTCACCTCTGATCACCCTAGTCGCAATCTCAAGCATGATTTAATTGCACCTCTTGTCACCACAAGGTCTCCACCAAATCTGAACTCTTCCACTCTTTCGATTCCCCAGCGAGTTGTTAATTCTTTTGTTTCCCGACGTCCGTTTCGAGAACCAGTGAATCCATCCGAGGGAAAAAGGATATTAAGATAGAAAGTTCTAGGATAGTCAAGACAAAGAACAAGGGAAATACTAAGCCTAAAATATAAAATATATACAAAAATAAACAATAGTTGATGGCCACAAAAAACAGACAGAGAGACAAACAGATAGATGACATTGAGAATTTATAGGTCTACAATTAGGTGCTAAAATAGTATTCTAAATTTAAACAGTAACAAATTCTGATCATGAGATTTGTTAATTTGAAATATAATCTAAAACAAATCTTTTATTTAAAATATTTTTTAAATATGAAATTGCTTGTGTAAATTTAATGACAGAAAATCAAAAACATTTAATGAAAGAAATGTAAATGAAAGAGAAAACTCCACCAAAAAGAATTAAAAATATTTATAAAACTTTTTATGCTACATTTCATTTTTATTATTTAATATTTATTATTTTTAAGATTAAAATATATATATTCTTAATACCAATTAGGGTTCAGACAGTGTTGGAGATTGTGTTGTTGCTAATGGCAAACCATCTTTTCACTATTCATGGAATGAAGATAAATCAAATGCAATTAGAAATAAGGTAATTGCTTTTTTAAAATATAAATTTAAATATTAATGAAATTATTTTTGTCTATATAGAAAATAAATTAGTTTTACTTCATCCAATAATATATTTTATATTATAACATAATACAGTAGAACCTCGAAAACTCGGCCTAATGTGGACCGAAGGGTGGCCGAGTTTGTGAAAATGCCGGGTTATCGGGAATGGGGTTAAAAAAGGATAACTATGCATGTTTCCTCAGAAAATACTGTACTGTACTTGTATGTATTGTTTGCTTGAGAATACAACAGAGAATACACTGCCCAAATACCCTTAAACAAAGGAAAAAACGTATTTATGAAGGCATAAAGCCTTTACTACATGAAAATGAAAATTAATGAATACACTGTGTACAGTAATTTACCTGATAAGACAGACCTCAGAAAAAAACTTTATGAGAGCTTTTATACTTTTATAAAGCAGTCTATAATGAAAATTAATTAACTAAAAATTTTTTTGCCCTGGCAGGGTGTGGCCGAGTTATCCGGAGTGCCGGGTTATTGAGAGCCGAGTTTTCGAGGTTCTACTGTACAATATTATCATCATGTGATAAAGAAAATGTTGAAAAGAATAAACTGCTTGAATAGATAAATCCAATTAAACGTATAATTATGTTGATATAGTATAGATATAAAGCCTTTACGCAAAATTCTCTAGATGTTTCTAGCAAACATTAGAAAAATATAGAAATGACATCAAAAAAAGATTTATAACCTACTTAATGCAGGAAGTAACAAGCAGACAGATGGTGTGGATAGAGAAATTAGTGAATCAATCAAATGGATAGAGAAATTAACCATTACAAAAAAATGTGTTACATAAAGACAATTATGGAGTGATTTGTAACCAGACCCAGCTCTAGGAATCAGCAAAGCAAGCATTCACTAGGGATGGCAGATGGCACATTTTCATGGATGACATTTTGTAAAAATAATGTTTTTCTAAGCAAATTTTTACAAATATGAGCAGCTAAAAATGGAGTAGCTAAAAATCTAGAGCCAGTCCTGTCTTTAATATTTCTGAAATGTAATTACAATATATGTTTCATCTTTTATTTACAGATATTTGAGAAATTTATAAATATAGGAACTGTTCTACTCTCAGCACCGGGGTGAAATCAACGTTGCACTATCTGGAACCTGTGACTGGCGCTCGATGCATATATACTGTATTTGACAAACGTTTTCGAGCGATCCCTTCGCTCTTCTTCAGGTCGACTGAAATTCCCTGGATGGAGTGTATATTATTTGTTGGGATCGGGTGTCAGTTCCAAGGGGGTGGGTCGTTTGTCAACAGCGATATACAGTATATATGCGTCGAGCGCCGGTCACAGATTCCAGATAGTGCAACGTTGAGAAATTTTTTTGAAAAATCAAACTTTTATGATCTTTTTCATTAGGAATTACAGTATTTTCCTTATATCATTCCTATGATAAGAATTTGTAGTTTTTATCAGACACAATATTTACTGTTGATAATTATTAATGCCAGTATTATTATTATTTTTCACTTGGAAATGAGATCTGTATACTTTTCTTCCCATAAAATTTATTATATCATTATCATCAATAATTATTATTATTAAATAAAATTCGTCATAATGAAAACTTATATTTAAGAATTACATTAAGGAAGAAACTAAACTAAACTTAAATTAATATAAACAAAATATAGCGTACAGCTACACTATTATACCAAATATATCTGATAATTGTTAAATATAATTGTTTAAAAATTTCTAATTTATAGTTGCACAAATTATATGATATAATAATTAGTAAAGTTCAAATTAGATAATCATTAAAATTTTTAATAGATGGTAAATTTATTCTTCAGACATATTAAAAATATGCTATCTGTTTAGCATAGAATTAAATGCAATTTTTGATAATGAAATGAACAGTTGAATTCAAGCCTCTTTGCTTCTCTTCCTATATTATCTAGAGCAGCATTTCCCAACTTGTGGTCTGCAATGATAGGATGGATGGCCGCAAGAAGATTTAAATTAATAAAAATTAAAACTATTCAATGATGATTCACATTTTATAGTTTATTAATGAAGTTTCTATATGTATTTAAAACATGCTTTTAGATGTATATTATAAATGGCACAGTATGTTCCAAATGTTAGTAATTTCCATATAGGTTTAAAAATATTAAGTCTACATAACTTAGCGGTCTGTAGAATTTTTTCATACAGTTTTTAGATAGAAAAAATATTTTGGCATGGATCTAAGATGGTAATTACAGTATAAGAAATGGTCTACAGATAGAATAACTTTGAGAATTGCTGGTTTAAAGTACAGACAACATAACTAGTAAAATACTGTAATTATATTTGTATATTATATATTTTGTTTTTAAAAAATATCTTTAAGATAGCTACTATTTTTTCCAATACCTTATTGTAGCTGGTGATCAAAAGTGTCTTTTACTTTTTACAGCATTTCTAATGTAACATCTGTAATTTCTTTTCTGACTTTTTTCTTCAGTTTGTGATGAGTCACTGATTATACACTTTCCTTAAGTAATCAATTAAGAAACAATTTATTAAGTAATTATTCTTAGTAAATTAACATCATCAAACTGAATTTCTGAACTGATTATCTTTATATTGGTGTATGCCATCAATACCATGTGATTACAATTCCTTCAGATCATAAAAAAAAGTTAGCAAATGACAAATCAGGATTTTGCAGGCCATAGCACATTACCAAGCTGGGAGATCGAGTGACTCTCATCTTTTTCAAAAATCTGCCATGCTGTAACAACCAAGACACTAATCTGCTGAAACCAGACTGCTACAGACATATTGTTCAATTGAAGCTTGAGAAATGTCTTGATTATCTGCACATAGCACTCCAAATTAACATTGATTGCACATCCAATAATGTCTGCAAAAAATTAGTGGCTAATGATGCCACCTTCATTGACAGTTCACTAAACAAAAACTTTTTCCAAATGTAATAGTTATTCATGAAGATTTTTTGATTTTTATTGGACTAACGACAAAAATTTTGTTTGTTCATAAATTCACTGACATAAAAATTTGCCTCCTTGGCATCAGTTATATATAAGCTTAACAAATCTTACAACTTGTGATATAACTGTTTAAACTCATAGAAATGGTTATGTCAACAAAGAACAAAATATTGTACAACTTGTATAATCTTTTGTTTTGCACATTTGTATTCTGTGCTGAATACAGGTGTGTATTATATGCCGTAAAATACTGTATTTTTAACAACTAACTAGAGCATTTTGGTAATTATTTATATATTTTAATGCTATTTTTAATCTTTTTTTTTACCAATAGATTTCTGGAATTGAAGTTGTTAGTGCTACACTTAAAGATGGTATTCTGAGCTGTAAATGGACAAGAGAAATAAGCTTGGTTGAAAATGGAATTTCATTTGATCTGATAAATAATAAATATTATCTTCTTCTGGCTAATGGACCTTTGGAGTCATTGTCACCAATTAGTTAGTTAAAATTTATTTTAAAATAATTTATTTTAAATTATATAATAGTTTGAATAAATAATTAAGACTCAGACCTTTCGGTATTGGGTTTTTATCCTGAATAAACTAGAGTATGTTTACATTAATATTAATTGACTCATGTATATTCCTAGTTAAATATTAATAGTTTTTTTTAACTCTTTCTGTCCTGTAGACATTAAGGGAGCTGGTTTTTTTTATCTGTCATGGGTGTGGCAGGTATACAATGGGCAGCTAAGTGATTAGGGACAGGTTTGACATAACTAGGACAGATACCTGAAAAATTTCTGGGAATTTTGACCTGTCCAAATTTGTTTTCAGGTCCCCAGAGTGGTAGGCTGACACCTGAATCCAGTGGTAGATTAAGATTTTCCAGAGTCCCTAGGCATAGAAGATTGTGCTTCTCTATATAATTTTATAGTGTCATAAATTAATAGTCTAATTGCAGTTAGATAACTACTTAGAAATTATGACATGCAATTGTAACAGTAAAATTATTTTCTTCAAATTTTGAGATCTAGGCATGTGTCTCGTGTGCCTAGTGAGCTATTTGGCACTGCCTTAATTGCTCAGCCATGTGACCGAAATGTTAACAGGTTGACAATGCCTAATTATTAAGATGAATTAGAAGTTAATAATAATGGTATAAAGCATAATCAGTAACTAAATTGGTGATTCAATTTATACTTTCTAGATACATCATTTTTTTTTTTTTGGAAGTAGATATTTTAAATTATTGATATATTTTTAAGATACCACTGTGAGATATAAGGGCAAAATTAAGAGTTATACAATGAAACAATTTTGCGCATAGAAAAATTATATTTATTTTATGGATTCCAACATCACAATACAACACGACAGTATATGAGATTACTACAATGACAATATTTAGATTCAAACATATGGTACTGTTTCTGACCACGATAACAAAAAGGGCCCGACCTTAAAACTAATCTTATATGCTAACTTAATACTAGTGAAAGAGAAGAATAGAAGTAGAAGAATGAAGGAAGAATACATAAGATTGGGACAGAAACACCCAGGATTTTTGTTGGCATGTTTGAACTATTCGTACTGTAGGGTGGGATGCCGCACGATGACTTCTTTGGATTTGACTCGTCGTCGTCTTTCTCTATATTTAATATTTCCTTTTCTAAAATCTTTTGTCGCTGTTGCCGGACGAGAACCTTTATCTTAATCTTTCCAATATCTCCGGTCATTGCTTAAGCGACCCGGAGTGTCCACTCTCCACTTCCGTACACCTCGCCATTCTGTCCTCGAATCCTCTTTGTCTCTTTTCCTTCTTATCCTAAGGGTCATTCTAACTTCTTTGTTCTTCTGTTTTCCGGAACTGGTCATCCCACCCAAGGGACAGGGATTAAGATAGGAAAGTTCTAGAAGGAAATGGAACAATAGGACAAAGGATAGAAGGAAGAAACTAAACTAAACTTAAATTAATATAAACAAAATATAGCGTACAGCTACACTATTATACCAAATATATCTGATAATTGTTAAATATACTACCCTGAACAGATTTATGTAGTTTCAAGGTTGCATCACTACAGAAGGCAGAGCTTTGAGTATATAAAATAGAATACATAAACATCAGCAGATCTTTTTTTCATTCTAATTGAATTTTAATTATTTGTGACTGTGTAAATGTCAGTCCCGTCTACATTGCATCTGTAATACAGTGGTTTAGGTAGTAAAGATATTTTACATCCTGTTTTGGGCTCCCATTTAGTAATATGGAATGGAAAAAAGTTATAAATTTATAATTGTTTTATACTATTAATGTTACAATTATTGCTAAGTTGTATCTTTTGGGACTTGCTAATTATAATAAAATTAATGCCTGATAATAATATCTTGATTACAAAAAGTGGATTCTATTGTATATATATTCTTACATAGCTAATACATTTTAAGTGTTTTAGCTGTTTATAAAATACCAAAAATTTTATATAAAATTGTTTCATTAGAATTATGAATTTTTCAAAGAATGAAAGTGGATTGTGTTATGCTTGTATATGCTATTGTAAAAGTGATTTCTATTAAAATGTATTTATTTTTAAAGTAATAATAATATATAATTATATTAGATTATTTTATTTTAAATAGTAAAAAGACAACATGATTCTACCTTATATTCAAGTAGCAAAGTAAATTTGACAAGTATTAGTAATATTACTGGAAGTAGCAGTTTTGCACCATTATTCAAAGCACATGGTGAGTTAAATATTTATTGAATACATATACATATTTATAATGTCTTTTTATCAATAATAATAAATAAATCTTTAATTTTCAAATAAATCTATATACAAATGAATTATATTGACATAATTACATAACTAAATAATTGAAACATTAACAGTTTTATATCTGCAAGTATCTATATTTTTGTTTTTAACAATACCAGTATAAGTTAATTTTTATCTTAGATTTATAAATAAACAATTAGAAGTATCCTGTACTAATTATAATGTATTTGTATATTAGCAAATATCATTTATCTATCATTTACGTAATAACTAATAGTAAAAATAAATGCCTAGTTATATACTTTTTATAGCTTTAAATGAGGAAATATAGCATATTATGCTAGCTTAATGGGATATCTTCATTTCTTGGGTACGGTAAGGTATTTTCTTACTGTCATAGAGAATTCAAACCATTAAATACAGAAACTATTCTACCCTCAGCACCGGGTGAACGTTTGTCAACAGTGATATACAGTATATACGCGTCGTGCACCGGTTACAGGTTCCAGATAGTGAAGTGTAGATTCAAGCCATTTTTCTTTTTATAGATATTTTATAGGTTATTTATATTAGGGCATGGTTCTCCCTTTATTACCTATACTGATCTGCTGATTAAGCTTATCATTACAAGAAAAATTGAGCCAGCTATATAATCTATGTTCACTAATGCTCTGTACAATTTATAGTAAATAGTCTTAAATATTGCCAGTCATTAAGATAAGTCATCCACAAAACCAAAAATCCAGCAAGGAAAATTTAAGAATTTAATGGTAAACAAATGTTTTCAGTTGCTTTGAGCAACTATCCAGGTTACATAGAATGTTTGTGAATGGAACATGAAATTGAATGCTATTTGTGTTTACAAGTTTTCTGTTTTTAAAATCATTAAGATGATTCATGTAGTTTAAATTTAGCCAATGTAGAGAACATTCTGTCTGGTTTGAATGTAACCATTTGTCATGACTCTTTAATGTTAATTTAAATTAGAATGTAGAAGCAATTTAACAGCCTTTCTCATTCTTTCAAAGAATATGTTATTCTGTGGTGATGCAGGTTATCGGACATCACATGTAAGAAACAATATACATTAAACTTCCTTTTTTCAGGAATACGATAACAATATCAATTTATTTTCCTTTAACTTTAACTTACAATACACTATCTTTCCTTTACTTTACACTGCTCGTTTTGATATCCCAACAAAAATGATTCGCGAGGCCAGTTTGTGGACAATCCATTTCAATCATCTTATATTACTAATAAAAACTAACTTATCTTAAATTAATACTAATATTACTTAAAATAAAGAAAGAAGAGAAGAAAATTGTGTTAATATGGGATCCCCTTTCTCCTGTCCTGTGAGTTGGGCACTTAAGGTGTTGTCAACACCTTAAGTGCCCAACTCACAGTTAACAAAGAAAACTTAACCTCACCACTTGGTTCTCCTTAGTTGAGATAAGCAGTCCACTTATAACTTTTTTTTTTACATCTTCAATCACAAATTTTGAGCACTAATCTTCTATATCCCCACCACATAGATTTTCTTTCTCATGCTCCTTCTCCTGTGTTGCCATGTGCCTCACAACTCCTTCTTCCCAACTCTACTCTTGTCTCACCACGTGCCTCTCTTCTCATTCTTCCCGACCAAGAATGCCAAAAATTGTCCTTCTCTTTGGTGGCATATATTGACTCTTTTAGCCCAAAACTTGCCAAAAGAACAACAATAGGAGGATAGAGTTAATTGGACAGGGAAAAAGAATACGTACGAATTATAACTTTGCTAATTATAACAATAAAAATAAATATATATATATATATACATTGTGGGACCCACTGCAATTCTTTATATTAGCTGAAAATGTTTGTGGTGAACAAATTGGATGTTGATTTTAAAGGTGTTTGCATTTTGCATATATTACTATATGTATAACTACTAAACATTTACGAGGGCTGTTCGGAAAGTTCGCGGCCTCACATAGAAAAACAAACAAAATAATGTTAAAACTTTTTTTATTTTTCAATGTAATCTCCTCTGTTAGCAATGCACTTATTCCAGCGATGTTCTAGCTTTTTTATGCCATCACAATAGGTCGATTTGTCAAGGTGTGCAAAATACTCGTTCACTTCAGAGATGACTTCGTCATTTGAGTGGAATCTCTTTCCAACCAAGAATTATTTTAAATTTGGAAAAAGGTGGAAGTCACTGGGGGCCAAATCAGGTGAGTACGGTGGATGTGGAACTAATTGGAAGCTAAGTTCGTTTATCTTTTGTTCAGTGATTCTGGCATTATCGTGGTGAAACAGAATCTTCTTCTTCAAGTGTGACCTCTTTTCTTTGATTTCTTTTTTCAGTTTTTCCAAAAGTATACAGTAATAGACAGCATTGATGGTCTTTCCTCTTTCTAGGTAGTCAATAAAGATGATGCCTTTAGCATCCCCAAAATAAACGAGGATATCACTTTCCCTGCTGATGGAACTGTTTTTTTTTGTCTTCTTTGGTGGTGGCAAACTGTGGTGTTTCCATTGCTTCGACTGTTCTTTTGTTTCAAAAGTGTAGTAATGGATTCACGTTTCGTCAGTAGTCACAAACCGACGCAAGAAATCCCGTGGGTTTTTCTTGTAGAAGTCCAAACACTCCTTTGACATCAAAGTGCAAACACATCTTTGCTCAGCGGTCAGCAGATGCGGCACCCAACTTGCTGAGACCTTCTTCATACCCAAATTTTCGGTTAGGATGTGGTGCACTCGGTCGACAGAGATGCCTGTTGTCTTAGCTATCTCACGCGTTTTCAAACGGCGATCTGCTAATACCAAATCGTGAACTTTGTCGATGTTTTCTTCAGTGACAGCAGTTGACGGCCGTCCGCTGCGAGGGTCATCTTCCACACTCTCTCTGCCAGATTTAAAAAGGGCTGTCCATTTTTTCACAGTGGTGTACGAAGGAGCAGACTCTCCCAAAACTTCATCCATGTCAGCTTTGATTTAAGATGCGGTCAACCCTTTTTTCGTCAGGTATTTTATGACCGCACGAGTCTCCGTCTTCTCCATTTTTGACAAAGCATGTGAACATTGACTATCTGCTAAGCTGTCGTGGCAAAACTTTACGACAAATCAAGTGGAAATTAGTATCCTATCTTTAGCAAGGATGACTGAATTATTCCCGCCAAAAATTAAATTGATCGCAGCGCCGCATATAGGCAAGGCCGCGAACTTTTCGAACAGCCCTCGTAAGACAGATAAGCTAACTTAGATATGTTAACATATGATTTATCCATCTGTTAAATGTTTATCTTAGTTATCTATACTAGGGATTCTTAAATGCACCCACTGTGGCTGCAAGACTAGCTCAAATCTGCAATAACTATATATCAGCTAAATAAATTACTCTTAATGCACTAATTGAATCATGCTAAATTAGATTGAATTTGCATATACATGTATGCAAAAATTAAGGATGGATGACATTTGTACACAAATAGAAAGTTGTAGATAAATGCAGACAGGTATGGTAAGAACTGTATTACTTGACATGTAACATTGAGTAATACATGGCAACCTAGGACTACAAATCAAGACAATAAAAGTAAGTCGTAAAGGTACATACAGCAGTTGGACATAGGTAGAGAATGGATAGAAAGTGCTTACCAATACCCAGGCAGAGAGACCTGTCTGTATGGAATATGTTTATCTCAAACTAATGCAGCACTCACAATGTCATGGTAGGCTTGTCACTGAGTAGCTCAGTGTTTTTGTTGTTTTTTTTTTTTTTCAAGCTATAACTGTTAGCAATTTTGTTTATCCTTAAGTTTTGGACATGTGTGTATAATCTTAAGAAGTGCTATGTGCCTGTGAAGAAAATGAGATGTTCTCATTTAGTATGAAGATTGTATACAGTATATATGGAGATTACTAAGGTTATATGCAAATTTTAAAACCGTATGGAAAATATCTAATATGGCATGATTTGAATGGTAATGATGTACCTACACAGCATTCAGGATTTGCAGATTTTAATTCATTCCAAACTATTCTTTTTCAGATGATTATAAATTAATCAGTTAAAATAATAATTTGATCTAATTATTAAACATAGAAATATCACCTATTTGGGAAATGTTTTAATGATTAGGATAATTTTTCATGACAATAGTAAGATTGTAATTTTAAAAATAAATAAAAAATAATAATGTAGCTAAATAATTTTGGAATTATTCTTTATATTTGGCTTTAAACTAGTAATGGATTCATCATTTAAAAATATTTTATTATAAAGAGATATTATTTGCTTTGCTTTCTGTATGTCTGTCAATATATTCAGTATCAAAATAAAATGATATATTTCTAGCACTGTTAACTCCATAGTGTTATAACAATGTACCAGAAAAAGTGTACAGATAATAAAACTTACAAGTTAGTTAAAAGGAAAGTAACTATTTAGTATAGTTTTTAATATCTACTTTTTAAAGAAATATGTTGATTCTTAACGACAAATTTTTGAAGTTTACTAAAATATTAAACATTCCAAAAGTCTTGCAATTTATTGTAAATTTTTTTCTTTAATAAATCTATAAAAATATGTACAAAAGTCTCTATAATTAATTTCTTCATAACTATTTTTGTAATTTAATTTTGAAAGCAATTCAATGTATAGATAAAGGGGTTAGTTAATTAGTATTAAGATCAGAAAAGGTAATATTCCATAAACCAATACAACCAAAAGGAAAGTCTGAAACTTGATTTGACATATTCATTTCAAATAAGTTCTTTGCCCCTTCATTCCTATCATTGTTAATTATAGAGATATTGCATTCAGAGGGTAGGCCTATACAGAAATTGCGGCATCTGTATAAAGAATAGCATTGAAGAACATGAGAAAAATAACTCTATTTGAAATATATTTTGTCAAATTAGAATCAAAAGGAAGATTTTGGAAGATTTTATTTTATGTTTTTATTTATGGAATATTATCCTTTTTAATCTTAAATAAAATTTAACAATAAAATTCCTGTACAGAACTTGTAAGTATAAAACATATCGTCAATTATGTTCTACAATTTTATTTAATGACGTTGTTAAACTGTTTTTGAGTGTTAATCTATAAAATTTTAATTCTTTACAATTAATTTAAAATATGCAGATATATTTACATAATTTTAGATTTTTTTTTTAAAATATAAATCTTAATAAAATTTTGTTTATTTTTTAAGGAATGATGTGGTTATGTGTTGTTGGTCTTCTATTTGTGACATGTTTATAATGAATTATGATTATACAACTCACAATAAATTATGGACAGTTTGGTCTCTGAAAATTCTCTCTCAGCTTTATTAAATATATAATCATTTAGATCAGATCTGTTGCATTTAAGCTTTTAAACATAGTAATTAATATATTCATCATTTTTATATTTAAAATTTGTATCTCTAGACTCAAAAATCTATGTACTATATGTAATTTTGTTTAGTAATGTTAATAAATGTATGTTATGATTTTGGTTTGTATATTTGTTTGTCTATGTCTATATTTATATTGATACTTCAAAGTTAAAATTTTTTTTTTATTTAACATGAAATATTAATTTTTACAATATTTAGTTTTAATTAAATAGATAATTTTACAGTTATAGATATGTATTATACAGACTAGGAATGTCTAAGGAGAAGTTGTCTTATAAATTGTTAGGTACTTTTTTTGCAGTTAGCTTTTAAATTGTAAACTGACTATTTAAATTGACAAACCATAGTAATATAAACAGAGTAATACAAAATAAAAATATTTAAACTAATAGAAATTTAGTTTATTCTAAGTTATTTATGTCCAACTTCATTACTGTACTACCTAGAATCTTTTATTTGCGTAGCATCTCTGCTTTTTGAGATCAAAATAAAAAATTCTACCAAATTTCTAGTACTTTTTTGTCTTGGATTTTCAGAAAAGCAAAAAAACTGTAAATGCTGAAGGACTAAGTATTAAAATATGTAAAACAGAATTTATTTATTTTTTCATTCCCATTAGAACATAGTTACTTTTTATAACACATTTCTATAGTAACAGTATTCTGATCTTTTAGGTATTCCTGATGATGGATATAAGCCCAAATGCTCTGTAATTTCTGTTTTAATGTCGTTTAATTTTAAACTCTATTAAAGCAATTTTTTCCATTGTTTTTAAATATTAGAGTCATTTTTACATGATGTAAAACAATTATTGGCAATAGTCACTAAAAATTACGAAACAGTGTATTAATCTTTGAGACGTTTTCAATCGTACTCAATGTATTTAAATTTGATTCTACACACATTATTATTTAAGATAATTATAAATTTAGAAAATTATAAACATCATGAAGGAAAATTAAATGACAAAATCAAATTTATACATGTACAGATATCAAAGACATCTTGAAATATCACAGTCACTGCTATTTTATCTATTGTTTATTTAGTATTAAAATTATGTGTGTTTATAATAGCCTGTTAAATCTTAATTTTTTTGACATCAGTCAGACAGACATTCAAAAAAACTTTATTTTTACAAAATTATATATTTAACTCAGTACAATACAAAAACAATAAAGTATTTTTCTGTTAGAAATATTCTAGTATTACATCAAATGAAAAGTTATTAAGCTATGAATATAAACATCTATAAACTTTGTTTTTAAATTTAAGCCAAATGATTGCTGATGTAATCCAATATCTCTTAATAACATAACAACAACAACAACAGCAGTTGAAAATCTAATTTCAGGAAAATGTTTTTGTTCAGAAATTATCAGAATAAATGATTTTTATTTTATTTTACTGTTATATGTCAAATTATACACTATCATTTTATTAATGTCTTGTATTAATAACAATAATTTTTAAAAATCAAGTACTTTCAATGATTTTATCTTTTGACATCTTCAGGAACAGATAATTTAGATCATTTTTAGATTATGAAATTGTAAGATGAAGGTGATCCAATACAAGAATTGTAAACTTTCTGACAAAATATTTCGACTTCTTTATTAAAACAATTGTTTTATTAATATTGTTTAGAACATGATTTTAAATGTTTAAAAATTTTGGGACCAACTGTACAATTTATTAATAATGCAATTGAAAATTTGCTTGTGTTCTTAAGGAATTACTTAGAATGCAAGACAGAAAATATTATTTTCTGTGTGTATGTTACACCAAATCTGGGAATGTTGTTCATTTTGTGAAATGGGCAGTTGATATACTGATTTTATGAATTTGACCATATTCCTGCCCAAGTGACACTAATGTAGTATTGTGGTAAATTTACAAACTTGCATGTTTTGGAGAGCTTTTATTTTATTGATACTTCAGTGTTTCTAAGTTTGAAGTTTATGCTGTAAGTACTTGCTTTTATATGTTTAAGATGTAAGCTAGTATTTAATATAATATGTATGTAATGAATATCATTAGAAAGTATAAATTATCATTAATTAATCTTCAAGAAGATTATAAAAAAATTTATTTTAGTATATTATGTTTTTTTTAAGCGAATATTCAATGGGTGAAACAAATGTTGGTATCTTATTGGAAAATATAAAATGATGGTTTCACAAAATAAACAATTCAAAACGAATCTTCTTTGTGAAATAGGCAGAAAATTTTTTTTCTTATTTCACAAAATTAGCAACATTCCCAGATTTGGTGGCATAACATATATAAATATAAATTACATTTTATCTTTAAAGAAGTAAAGTAATTCAAAAATAGTCAACAAAATTATAAAAATTTGTAATATTAATAATTACTTAATTCATTTCTTATACTTACTGTAAAAGATATGATTAATAACTCACAAATAATGATTATTTAGTATCAATAAAAATAATTTATGAAAAATTTATAGCTAAAGTTTAAAAAAAAAAAAAATTTAATTTAACTAAGAAATATAAAGTGGCAATAATTATAATCCATGAAAACCTTTCTGTACAAGTGTTATGTTCTTAACTACGCCACAAATGCTTTCGACCTCCACCGAGGTCTGCTTCAGGTGGTGACTGACCGTGTTTCTTCCTGACTGTCGTAATGATGTTGCCAGAGATGTAAATAATTGTGCGCGTCGGGTTTCACCCCTCAGAAAGTCGGAGGAGTCTTTCACAGGGACAGTCGGAGGGGTGAAACCCGACACGCATAATTATTTACATCTCTGGCAACATCATTATGACGGTCAGGAAGAAACACAGTCAGTCACCACCTGAAGCAGACCTCGGTGGAGGTCGAAAGCGTTTGTGGAGTATGTAAGAACATAACACTTGTACAGGAAGGTTTTTGTGGATTATTATTACTAATTATTATTACTCAACGAACTTATTATTACTCAACTTCGTTGAGTTGTTGGAAGTCGTTTTGTATGGCAATAATTTGTGTGTGTTAAAACTTGGTACATTTTCACTGAGAAATATAAGAATTAATAAACATAAATAGATATTAAAAATAAAACATCAAGATATCTTATTTAATTTTTTATAAACCATCTGAAAATTTGAAATATTCGAGGACACTTCACAGAGCATCAGATAAAATCATGAACATGGAAGAGTAACTTATCTCCTATGTTTTATATGTAATAGGAGCAGAGCAGTCCATTTAAATGAGTGTCATGCAGATGGCACTTTTACAACAGAAATCTGCAGTTCTAAAGAAGATTTAGAAGCATATATCTTTAATCTTATGGCACATTACTGTCCAGGGTATATGGTGAAAGGCTTTCCTCACTATGATACTGTTGAGATTTGTCGAAATATGCGATATGGTTGAAAAAAAACAGTAGAGGAAGATTAAATGGAAAATCTATATGAATCAACAAAACTTGTTTCTTGTAAAGATGCACTGCTTTATTTAAGTATGGTGATTAAATATTTAGAAGAAAATTTTATTCAATGTAATGAAGTTTATGAGATCAAGGAGATAATTGAAATGAAAGTTGCGAGTAATTGCTAAAATTGTTGATATAAGAATGCAAACAGTAAAATTATCTGATGATGAATTTTAATGTTTTCAAGTGTGTTATAAGTTACATAAAGCTTCTAAGACATGGAGGTGTGGAGAGATTTGAATACCATGGTATTGTTACTTTGGGTAAGGAGCACGATGTAGCAATCCCGAGGGAGCTCTGTTAACTGGACTATGTAATGTAATTTCATGAATAACTCAAACTCAATGTATCTGTGAATTTGTGAAATATATTAAAGGTTAATAAACACTTTTAAAAATTTAAATAGAATAATAAATGACTTTTTCAACAAAATCAGTTAATTTGCAATCATCACTTCATAGATTCACATTGCATCATGATCAATAATAAAAACATAGTTTAGAATATTTTATAATTATGATGATGTATTGTAATTTAAAATTAGATATTGAATTGATTTTTTTAAATGTAAAATATATGTATATATAATAAAATTGTAATAAATTTTAAAATTTTATATTTATCAAAATAATATTGTAGGAAGTCTAATGATAATAGCCTGGGCTGGATTAGTCAGTATTGGTATTCTTTTGGCAAGACATTATAAAGATGCCTGGGATGAAAAAACACTGTGTAATGTGAAGATTTGGTTTGCAGTAAGCAAAACATTTTTATATTTTTATTAGAAAATTACAGTGATACATATAATTTTAAATTATTGATTAGCCTGTTGATCTATTCAAAAAATTTTTTGTTTCAGACACCAATTACGAGATAACTCATGTAGGTTGTTTTGGCAAAACTACTGATAACCTTTTGTTACAATTTGATTGAATAATAATTATTATAAATTGAGCTTTGCACGCAGCAATGGCACATTACTGTATGCAAAGCTCAATTAACAATTATACTCCCCAACATCATTCCCAATAAGACATTAATTGTCATTATATTAATATTGTCATTAATATTTTTATTTTTATGGCATGCAAATATTACTGTTTTGTTTTGTTTTTAGCTCCATAGAGCTTTTATGGTTACTGCTGTTCTAATGATTGTAACTGCTTTTATATTGGTATTTGTGTATCTTAAACAATGGACTGTAAGTATTTATAATCATCATTATTAATAGATCAAAATTATTATTATTATTATTATTATTATGGTAATATTAAGTATTCTGTTAAATTTATATATTAAAACTTTTTTTTTTTAGAATAAGGCAACAACACATGCAATTCTTGGTTGTGTAGCTACAGGATTTGCTGTTTTACAGGTAATAAAATTTGCATTTTTTAAATTATTGTAAATCTGTAATAAAATGTAAAAAATTCTGCTTTCTTTCTCAAATTTTTGTATTCTCAATAGATTAATAGAAAAATTACATTAAGTTACTATTAATTTTCAGACTGTGATACACTATGAAATATAGTGTAATCCCAATAATATAAAGAAAACATTTTTTTATGCCAAAAAATTCAATATTTAAAGATTTATTGACAATATTTTGTCTAAATCCATGTATATTTTGCTAGAATTTAAAAGGTGTTAAATTTTAATGAAGACAAATGTTTTCAGCCTTATCCAAGTGGCTTTCTTCAGGCTATATTCAATGAGACCTTTCTAAAATCAAACATTATACATTTGGAATACTGGATTTAAAATTTGGATTCAGTTCTAAACATAAATGAGAGAGAGCAGATCTGGAATGCAATACATATGTGGATGTAAAATAAAAACTAAAAATAAAGTTAGAAAGTAAACTAAAATAACTAAACAGAGATGACAGCAAAATATATATATCCTACTTTTAAACATATTATTACTGAATGATAATCATACATAATATTGATTGTATAGTTAAGGAGATATGTAAAGGATTTCCACACAGAGATGGATTCTACATCTTTGTATTTAATGCAGCATTGGTTTTTTCATGGCTTTGAAAATCTTTATAGTTCAAGTCCCTTCAAATCTATTGTACAATTGGTGGAATGTATAGGGTGTGTCTAATAAAATTTAACTGTACACCCAGCCAGAGGCATAGGTAGATAGTGTTGTGGTTGGTTTTCATTTTTTGACAGTACACTTATACTGTTTTAGTACGTCCAGTATCAAACAGTTTCTGGCCCCTATATATTCCAAAGCCTTATCATATCTATGGTGTTTAATTGGGATTCTAGATAACCCAGGATTTTTATTCTTGACACCCTACTCTTGTTATCTGTTAAAGCTTGTTTACAATCAGGTTTCTGCAAAAACATATTGTCAGGTTAAGGCAAATAGTAGATACCAGTGAGGTTTCTACTATAGCTAACTACTTGAGTGTATGTATGTTTATCTCTTGGTAACTTTGGCTATTGAGTGTGGACATTGCAGGTGTAACTAGTGATTAACTGTTGCAAGAGCTTCCATGGATATCCATGTTATATCACTATACATTTGATGCAATTAAATTCCTTCAGTGTGTTCAGGATGTCAGAGCAGTGGGTGATGGCTGTTTTGATGAGTGATTAGAAGGCCAAGAGCTTGAAGGTATGGAAAGGAGGACACATTACCATCAACATTTACTGTAAAATGCCATTCTTTCTTCATTTCAGCAATCTCCTATGATCTGTACATCTTCAAGTGCTCAGTTGCACAGTCCAGATCGTTGACTTTGTTGAGGCAGCCCCATTTCTTGGCATGTCCAATCACCTGACATCACTCTCCAATCTTTTTTCTTTGAGGGTATGTCAAAGATTGCATGTATGCTACAAAAGTGCCAGAAATGTGTGCTCCACAAACAATAAATGTGAATGCCATTAACAGTATGACATGTTGGTTCAGACATGGATTGATTGAGCCAAAATAAAATACATACTGGATATTGTACTTGCCATGTCAGCAAATGTAGAAATGTGCCAATTTAATGTAATTTTTTGAGATGCATTTTCTATTACCATTATCTACTATACTGTATTCATGTTTATTCAAAATTAATCCACAAAACTAGGGAGGTTTAAAGACAACAACCTATATTTAAACAAAAAATTATAATATAATATAAATTACTTTTATGTATTACATAAATGATTATTAATGTTTATGTATTTATTGCATTTATTTAAATGATATTAAAAATAATAATATATATTTACTTAGCCTATTGGAGCACTTTTCCGTCCAGGACCAACAGATTCCAAACGTCCAATTTTTAATTGGTTGCATTGGATGGGTGGAAATGCAGGATTTATATCGGCAAGTAAGTATAGCATTAATTTTAATAATGCAGGGTGTTCTGCTCAAAGGTACCCAATTTTGATTTGACTATAGAAAATTAACTGTTAAAGATTTTATATGAGAGTAAAACTCATCAAATTTCATCAAAAAAATCATCACATCTCTGTGTGCTCTAGCAGTCACAGTGACAACATTGAGATGGTAGGCAACTTCCTCCATGTATGCTGCAGCATTTGATGATGCTGGGATGCACTCCTGAAGGTCTCTAACTGAAGTTACATAAACCATATCTTTCATATAACTCCACAGAAAGAAAACTAAGGGGGTCAGATTGGGGGATCTTGATGGTCACACTATCAACCGTACCAAAACATGACCTTCATTTTCTCCTGTAGCAAAGCCATAGACAATAATGCTTAGGATTTGACTTATGCACCATCTTGCAGTACAAAAAAATCTCTATAAAATTTGATGACTTTCCTAATAGATGCCAATTGCTTTTATATATCTTAAATCATTCAGTTTTTTATAGCAAATTAAAATCAGGTACTTTCAAGCAGAATGTATACCCTGTATATATATGTATCCTATACATACTATGTCGCATATAACATGTATTGGTACTGCATTCATTAACCATTTTTAAAAATTGATTCCACAATTGAATTTCAAAACATTGATGTATCTTATGAGCATTATTTATATTTGAATAAAAAAAATCAAAATTCTTTGCTTAATCTTCCCTTTGAATTTAAAATGTTTTTTTTTTAATTCTTATATTTTCCAAATTATTTATAACATTTTCATTAATGAAATAATGTAAAAAAAACTGTGACTTGAAAATTTTGGCTTAATTTCTGATTACAATGGATTTATTGATGTCAATGCAGAAGAGATTAGTTTTTCAGTTTTTGGCAATTATGAACAGGTATAATATGCAATGAAGTTGATTGTTAGAGGAAGAAATAGAGGATAAACAATATTTTCAACTTGAACTTGCCCATAAAAAATTGACAAAAAGTCTAGATTGATTTCATATTTAGATCTCTTATGACAGTAAGATAATACATTAACACTTGATGAATAGCAGATCCAGAAATTTTTAGAGAGGATACAGAAAGGAAATTATGTCTTACAAATATTTTCTATATTAGCTAGGCTACCTGGCTTTACTCAGGAAAAACTGTTAGAAGAGGTGCGGCTGTGCCCTATATGGCCCTCTAAATATGCCCTAAATATGATCATTATTTGGCTATTTTTCTGTGAGCGAGAAACTGAATAAATCCACATTTTTTAAATAAAATATCATATGCTTTTTATCTGAAATGTTTTCTTATGAGATATTTATCATTTGTTCTATTAAGATTTTAACAATTATGAAAACATTATATTTTATATTTATGTTAAATATGTTATACAATTTCTCAAAATATTAACAAGAATATAATCTTGTATAAGTTAATTGAAGACACAGACTGTCCAAAAAATATAAAAATATAAAAAACTTTTTTGGTAGACACCATTTATTCACTTCACGTGTAATATTTTAATTTGGTATTTATAAAGTTTTGATTAACTGCATTCTTTATATATTTCACCACCACGGGGCGCAATCTTAAATCGACAATTTCTAGCATTAATCAAAGCCCATAGTAAGTCATAGAGACAACCAGATTTTTGTAGCCAAGGTCAATGGATAATGCAGACCTGTTACATTCATTTTATTACAGAACATTTACAATCATGGGCATCCACTTGGAAGCAATCCCCACTGGATCCGGGCCTTCTAACTCCTAATAATTTAATGTAATAATGTCAAATTGAATATTTATGAATGGTTATTATTATTGTCAAAATAAAAATTATGATTTAATTAAATAAAATAGTTTTTTATCAATGCTTGTCCTCTCGACTGATAACCTCCGGTGAGAATTCGAAGTTTTTTCTCTACTTTGGCAGCTTTCTTAGCTTCTTTTGTCATGTGACCTTGATTTTGCTCTAATCTTTTCTCCAGAGACTATACGATCCTTTTTGCTCGCTAAATTAGCTCTTGTATATCTGTTCTGAGAAGGAAGAAATAACACTTGTGCCAAACATTCTTCCCAAACTTGACTGTAAGCTTCAAGACTCAGTTCACCGTGGCCCATGCCTTTCTTCACAAATTCCATTTCTTCTAATAATTTCTCCCTGGCCATTTCAATGTCATAATCGTGAAATTTCTCGTAAGGATGTTTTTCTAAATAAGCCAAATGTTGTGCTTGATTTACGACCATCGAGTGAGGTTGTTTTCCTTTTTTTGTTTGTTGTAATCCCAGTTGTTGTTCCGTTGCATGATGAACGGCATCGTGATGTAACATGACAATCATTTCTTGTTTGATAAGTTCTTCTGCCTTTTTAGTTTGGTCAGCGGCGGATCAGAATTTAATGGTCTCAAAATGGTTGTATTTATGTCGAGCGGTCTCGGAAGACTCCTGTGTACTGCTTGCATAAATTAATGGAAAAAACTTTTCTCAAGACTAAACTTGGTGTTCATATCATGAGGATAACAAGTCACTGTAGTATTATAGTGTTAATTTTAATAAAGCACAACACAAAAGCTCTTTTGCTTAAAAACACAAATCTTAGACTTTTAGTAATTTATAACATGCTTTTACTATACAACAGTAACACTTTATTATTTAGGTTATAAATCGTGTTTAGTGGAGAATGTCAGAATCTATAAAAGAAGTGAACTAATATAAAATTTTCAGTAAGACAGCAGCTTTCTGTCTAGCCAATAATTGTGATATGCTTTGGCACTTACACAAGGAGAAGGTGAGACATTCAAGTTTCCAGTTCAAATTGTAAAGTACTATATTAATTTTCCGCCCTCTACTAGGATTATTGACACGACTATGTGCCGGAAATAGCTGTTACCTAACAGATACTTTATGCGGATTTGCGTTAATGTGCCAGGCCTGGACTTTACGCATGCACCGAATTAAATAATGACAAAGTTAATCAAAAACAATCCAATATTTAATAAAATTTCTAGTAATAACTATATACAAAATTTAGTAAAAATTAAATAACAATTTATTCAACGTAAATCAATAAGAACCAACCTGACAAAACTCAAATCAATCTATTTTCTAACTTAACTCTATTCCCCTTTGGAATTTGACAAAAATAAAGACTTAACTTATATACAATAATTCTTATGAATTATTGATCCTAATCGTCACCTCAATATACTACGAACCCTTTTCCTCAACTCTCAAGACTTTCTCTAATCTTCGATTCACAAATTGAATAACTTCAAAATCACCTTGGAACTATTTTATCCTATCGGACACCTCTCTCTCGTTTGCTGCTACGAAGCTCACCATGCTCAAAATATTTGTAGCAGC